GGCAGGAGGCAGGTGGATAGGATGGGGGTTTTGGACTGTGGCGGGGGAAAAGGCAGAAAACTGTAGTTGAACAATTTTTAAAAATGTGAAAAAACAAGATGCATAAAATTTATATAATTTAGTAATTATTGTGAAAAGTATGTATGCATGCATACATACACGTAAATATACCATATATGCACATATATGTATGCATATATGGATATTTATGTGTGTGTGTGTATATATACATATTTTTAGAAGATTATACAGCAATAGCTACTAGTTTCCACCAGTTTTTCCTGGGGAAGCTACCCTATAAGGAGGAAGTGACACTAAGAGGGAAACATGTATTCCCCTGGATGCTTGTACTGTTGAACTTTTATTATGTGCATGTATTAATTATTCAAAAATAGTTTAGGAAGCTAAATATTAAGTCCCTGAAATGGTTGGGAAACTGGAGAGAAAGAATCAGAGGCACCAGAGATTTCTCTCACCAGGGTCTGTCTGAAGGCCAAGGCTTACTTTTGTATAATGACTCTCTGTATTTCCTGGAAACAGCACCCACCTAGGAATCAAGATGGGAAATACTGAGAACTTAGAATCTGGTATAAAATGTATAATCTTTTTTCCATTTTTTAAACTTTTATTATTTAAATGATTGGTTTTTGCTTTTATTTTTTAATGCATATTCTTAATAATTAACTTCCCCTAGTGAGGATGGTGGGAAGACTGAGAAGTTTAAACTACCACTCATCTTTGTCTAAGACCCACAATTATCTTCACTGCAAAAACCATTTATAACACTAAGGAAACATCTAGAGAAAAATATAAAGTGTTAATTCTAAAAATTATATGTATATATATGGCTCTATTGCACTGGAATAATGTGGGGAGCTCTTGTGGGGAGCTCTTGTGGGAAGACATGAAGTCAGATAGCAGAAATTGTGCAAGGTCACTTCAGATGCTCATATGAGCATGAGTAGAAGCTTGGAGGGAATGATTTGGCTTGGTGCTTATGGAGAGCAATGAAACAGTGTTTTGAGTTACGCAAACATTGTGGACAATTTTAAAATGTGCTTGGAACTCTACATACAAGCACAGTATATTCTAAAATGATAAATCAAGAAGGTCTAAGGGAATGTAGAATATACTAAAAAATGACAATTACAGCTACCTCTATAGAAAATGTGAATACATAAAGTTAGACAACTGTCTAAATAGAAACTACAACATAATGGTTGTGAATGTCACTTCTGAAATCCAGCCAGGACTCAAATCCTGGCTCCTGCCTCCATCCTTCAGTACTACCTTAATCTTGGGCAAATTACATCAGTGGTTTGATCCTTGGTTCCCCCAACAGTTAAATGGAAATAATAATAATAGTTACCTCATAAACCTTGTTGAGGTAATTTAGTGAAGCAATATATGTGAAAACAAATCTGCATTTATTATACAATTGACCCTCTATAATTGTTGCCAGCAGAGTGTGATGGGCTCTGAATTCAAATCGTTTAGGTTCAATTACTGGCTCCAACATTTACTAAACTGAGACAATGGGCACATTACTCACCAGTCTGTACCTTATCCTTCTCTCTCTAAAAAGGAGGGAATTTCAGGGGAAAGGGGGAAGGGTTTATAGGAACAAGTATAAAGGATACATGGACAAAAACTAGGGGTGGGTAGAAATGGAAGGGAAGTGGGGAGGGCCGGGGGGGTGGGCTGGGATGGCAGTAAAAGATAGAAAATTGTACTTGAACAATAATTAAAATAAAATTGTAAAAAATTTAAGAAAATAAAAAGGGGGATAATAATCGTAATCTACTATATTTTTTTCTGTTCTGTTTAACAGGTTACCTCAAATTTTGAACTTTAAAACAACACCAATTTGCCCTGGCTGTTGTGGCTCAGTGGCTTGAGTGCCAGACTGTGAATCAAAAGGTTGCTGGTTTGATTGTCAGTCAGGGCACATGCTTGGGTTGCAGGCAGGTTCCTGGTTGGGGGCACGTGAGAAGCTACCACATTGATGTTTCTCTCCCTCTCTTTCTCCCCCCACCCCGTCTAAAAATAAACAAATAAAATCTAAAAAAATAAAAGCAAAACTCACAGTTGCATTTGACTGGATTTTCTGCTTTGGCTCACACAAGGCTGAAATCCAAATTTTAATCCAGGTATATTTTGGATATTAAAGAAAATTCTGGATTAAACACTTTGGGAAATGTTTCTTAAACATAGGACCTTTCAAAGTTTTATATGCTAACATTCACCATGAATCTTTAAGATACTGGTATGATATGCAATGTTACCCAGATTATTTGACCAAGGAAAAATGTGTTTTTCCCAGAAACCTATTAACATCTTGGGGACAGTAAGCCTGCAAAAAATGTTTTGGGAAGTGCTGTCTTCGAGTGATGTATAGATTCACTTTTGGCACTTTAAGCACATATTTGGAGAAGCTATAAACTGTAGGCTGGATCATATATGATTAGTAAAGGTCCCTTAGCACTTTATGTGAGGCAAAAGATTCATAACAGAGTATCATTCTTTTACATTTTCTTCTTTTGTAAATAAATCTTTTTCCTTTGGTCTTCTAACATTTCTCATATTCCACTTCTGAAGAGGCTATGTATGAATTTAGTAAGTGAAGTGAGTGCCACAAATGTAAATTAGGTAAAGTGCTTGTAACTTTCAAAATGAAAGGCTTATTGGTACTTGATCATTATCAGTAAATGGTTGGGGGGAGGAGTAACTAAGCCTAGGGAGCTATAGACCTGAGGCTATGTATCAGATTTAGATGGTAAATGGGGCTTGTAGAAGTAGAGGAAGTAAACTGGCAACATGTTTTACAAGTCATCTACCAGTTAATACAAGATGGCATTTATAGTCATAACTCCAGGTATTTGGCCACAGAATATGCATTTTAAAGTAGTTTTATGCTCTCCTGAAGTTCTTTCATTTTAAGATTTTAAATTAAAAAAGAAAAAAATAGTAGCATACACTGTTGTCAAAAATTATGTAACTTCCTAACATGCTTATTAAGGTCATATGTTATCATAAAAGTGGAAATAAACAGGGAATTAAATAGGAAAATAACATCTCACCACAGAGACATAGGTTTTTTGATATTACATTTTTGAAATTTAGTGCTATCTTTTAGAAATAATGCTTTAACATTAATATGAAACATGTCATTTCATTAAAAAAAGAAGAAGTACCTTATAGTAGACAGGCTACAGCACAACCAAACAGCGCACTTTAAAAATTAAGTAATAATGATGTTCCAGAAAGTTGGAATTTAGTTGTTTAAAACTTGTTTGCTACAGTTCTGGACAGTGATGCCTTATTCTAACACCAGTGGCTTTGAGTATGAAAATAGATACTAAATAAATAGTTCTTTATCTTTCTCTTAGCAAAGTCATTTTTAAAACCCCTTTTTCCCACCCAGTTCCTTAAGCGGGTGAAAAAGGTGAAGGGATTGAGACCTACAGATTGGTAGTTACAAAGCAGTCATGGGGATGCAAAGTACAGCATAGAAAATATAGTCAATAATACTGTAATTATGTGTGTGCCAGTTGGGTGCTGGAGATACCAGGAAGAACACTTTGTAAAGTGCATATGATTGTCTAACTAATATGCTGTACATCTGAAATCAATATAAATAATATTAAATGCAAACTGTAATTGAAAACATTAAAAAATTGAAAAAATCTATTAGCAGAAAAAAAACCCTACTCTTTCACACTCCCAACAAACAAGAGATCAGAACAAACCTTGTTTTGAATAATTTTTGATGTTGTTTTTTGTTTGCCTGTGGCATAATACCTTAACTCTTCCATAGCAATATAAAATATTCCTTTTCCATCAGTCTTGCATCCTTGATCCCACCTCAAATTCGAAAAGGAAGGTGAAAATTGAAGTTTGAGTAACTCGAGGAGGCAAAAGATGAAGTTGCATGGCCAAACATCTTGTTATCCTTTTCTTAGTACATTCTCCTTTCACTTTGTGCCTTCAAGAATGTATTCTTCAATTTTTCCGTGTCTTTGTTTCTGTCCCTCTTTCTACCACCCTCTCTATAAGCAGGGTGGGGGGAACCCATGAGTTTCATTTTGGTACCTGCAACTGCTGGGATTGAATCCATGTACACTAAGCAATCATTCTAACAGGAAAGAGAAGAGAGCAAGCACTATTGTAAGCCATGGGCTATATTTTGGTTCAACCACTTTCACTGCAAAACCAGTCCGTTTATATTGCTTTTGGTGGGTAGCAGGGTAATTTGATCCACTTTAGTGATGCTTCAGGAATCTCTTATTGCCTTCTGTTTTCTTGCACTGTCCCCAAATTCGCCGCAGTATTTCTCATTTGAAACAGATGTCCTGCTTAACAAGACACATCTCTCCTATTTGCTTGCCCTAAGCCTTCATCTTTTTGCCCCTGAGAAGAGATGAGCCCACAACCCTCTGTTCCAGCCCCAGAGCTAACAAAAGTGCAGACAGAAGTAGAGCAGCCCTGTCTTGTATGATTACAGTCTCGCTGCTGAGTAGGTTGCATTTCCCGAGAATCCAGGACAACTCACTTTGCAGGGTTCTGTCTCTTTTGCAGTTTCGTGCCCCAAGAGCCACTTTTCAAAATCTCTTAACTTCTTTTCCTGTCTGTATTGGGAACTGGGCTTCAGGGGAATTCTTAACGTAGTTCATCATAACGTCAACGCCGGAAACCAAGGGAATCTCAGACAATAAGCGTCTCTGGCGTGTGTGGAAAAGGTACAAGCAACGTAGGAATGTAGGAACTTCAGAGGCAGTAGCAGGTGCCAGGGTGTGGCTGCAGTTGTCTCCCCTTTCTCTTCCAGCAGAAGGAGCCACCTGAGAGAGAGAGAGAGAGAGAGAGAGAGAGGGGGGGGGGGGGGAGAGAGAGAGAGAGAGAGAAGAGAGGGGAAGACTGAGGGAGGGGGAGACTGAGGGAGGGGGAGACTGAGGGAGGGGGAGACTGAGGGAGGGAATAAGAGGGAGGACAGGGGGCGGGGAGCGCCTGGGGAGCGCGCCTGGGAGGCTCAGGCTCAGGCTCAGACGCACGCCTCCACTGTTTGTACACAGTGCGCTCCCGGCTGTGGGCTCGCTAGCTCCCCGCCCGCTCACGCTTCATTGTTCTCCAAGTCCGAAGCCCCGCAGCCACACGGCTAGAGCGGCACTAGCACCGCCAGCTGAGCGCACGGAGTCCGCCAGCGCGGGTGACCCAGACCGCTCGGGAGCCCGCGCCCTGCCCCGCCCGCGGTGCTCAGTCGGGACCCACCCGCAGCGGAGGCTGAGCAGGCAGCTCCCCAAAGCTCGCCCACCTCATTGCGCTAGAACGCAGGCAAAAGGAGAAGAGAAATTCCTCTCTTTGGTCACCCACTCTCTCTCGCCCTCTCCAAGAATTTGTTTAAGGAAACGCTTCGGCAAGAAGACATCTTCCTGAATTCACTGTCAGGGGCGGGGTTGCCGGTGACCTGCGGTGCTACCTCCGCGACACTCCTGGCTACGATCCCTGATTAGCTGGAGTCAAGTCCGGGAGAAGGGATCATGAAGAGCTCGGTGGCCGCTTGGCTGTTGGTCCTGCTCAGCCTCGGTGTCCCCCACTTTTGCAAAGGTGAGGCAGCAAGGGCCGGGCCGCTGGGTACGGGACACTGGAAAGTACTCTGAGAAACGCTGTGCCTGGGGCTGGCGTGGAGGGGGTCCCCCGGGCTGGCCAGAGGTGTTGAGCAACGCTGGCGGGCGGCGCGGAGGAGGCGTCCAGAACGGGGCTCCGCGGAAAAGTGCTCGCAAAGTCAGAGAGAGTGAACGGGGTTGAGCGGGTGGTACCGAGGTGAGAGTGAGGAAAGACGGAAAAAGAGCGGAGGCGGGAGGGAACAGCGCTCTTCAGGACCAGGGATTCTACGGCTTACTTGGACATCGGGTGGCGGTGACTGCTTGTACCCTTCCAAGGCAATGCTTGTAAAGCCCCCTAGGATCACCGATCCCCGGGCTTGTATTTCCTGGGGGCCAGCTGGGGAAGCGAGGGTACGCGGGGGGTGGAGGGCGTCATCTAGTTAAAACGGGATGAGGCTGGAGAGCTGCAGGACGACAGCTGCCTCTGGGGTGCGGCGCTTCGCCGCGGGGCTGGGCTGAGCAGGTTGCAAACCCAAACCTAACGCTGGGAGTTTGGGCAGAGGGTGAGATGGTGAATGGTCTGACCAGTCAGTTCGGCTTTCTTCCGCCTCTCCATCCAAGAAGGCAGCGTCGTGGATTACCCCAGAATCAGCCTCTTCTCTAATCCTAGGGGCCTCGAGCTTTGCTCATTACTCCCTTCCGTGCAAGCTCAACTCTTGAAAACAGAAAATCTTTCGGTATAACCCTCGCGCCCACACCTAAGAGCAGAAAAGTTGTAAAAGCTGGTCTGGTGGTGCTTTCCATGACTTGTGTGAAATAAACCATACTGTTAAAAAAAAAAATAAGAAAAAAAAAAGGACTTCGACGAACCTCCTGCTGAGTTGTATAGATAGATGACTTCCAGGTCTTTTGCGAGGAGTGGCTTTTTCATTGCAAGCCCTGGCCGTGGTCCCGTCTCTGTGCCCGTGGAGGCTGAAGTTGGCACGGGAAAAGGGCAGGGGGAGCGACAGGGGCTCTGGGAAGGCCGCGAGAGGGGGGTTTGCGTCCCTTCTGCACTCACAGATGCCGGTGGCCCCTTCTAAGGGCTCCTCAGGCTGCTTCACAGAGAGAGCTGAGCGCACTGTATACAGGGTTTAAAATTCCGTGCCTCTAAAAATGGATAGTTGGATTAAAAATGTGTTGACTAGAATCCATTTGAGGTTAAATACTGCATGAATATTCTGCACCATCCATCCATTTGTTTCACAGGAAAATTGTGTACTCTTGGACTATACTCTTCGCTCAGGAAGCCTGGCGTTTCTGGCCACACGCCCTCGCAGCCCTGCCAGTAGTGATCTGTGTGGCCTTTCCTTTCTTCGCCTGTCACTCGCCCCCAGAATGAGGGTGTTATCCCCAGCATGTGTGTAGGGGTGTGCTTCTCCAGCGCTTACAAACTGCCTTTCCAGTGATCAGGCAGAGGCAGCCACTCCACTGAAGGTTACAGAATGGTAATGGTTCTGTAGTTGCTCTGCCGGGTCCCTCCAGCGAAAATGCTCCCACCACCGATATGTTTCCTTTCTCTTATTTCCGGAAGGAATTTCATTTGCACTTTGATCCCTTAGCTGGAAGGGGAAGGGGAAGAACTGCAGACACTTCTCTCCTTCTCCCTTCCCTGCCTCCGTTCACGAAAACACACACACTGCCCCACACCTACACCATGCCACTGCCACCATCTGTCCCGCTCCGAGGAGGGCGGCAGAGGTGGAAGAGATGGAGCTTTTAGTGTGTGTGGCCGCTATATCCTTGCTTGGTCTGGTTACTGTAGCCTAGGTCGCGATGAGTCCCAGCTCACTGCAGCCCGAAGCTCTGCCTCCGAAGGATAACCACGCTTAGGGCACAGCTTACTCCTCCAGACAAACCTATCACAGTAAGGTTGCCTGGCTTTCCCATTCAGGCTCCTAGACAATGCTCGGGCAGCTGTGTACTCCATATTCTTCTAGCTTTCTCCTTTTTCAGCCAGGCTGTGGTGAGAGGGAAAGAGGGCTTTAAGAAGAAACACCATTTTCCATGCGCAATTTATGTTAAACTTGCACCTTTCTATTTTATTCTCCCTCAGCCCTGCAGAAGGCACAATGCAGCTTGCATGACAGCTCCAAACAATTAAACTTGGAGCAAAGTTATTGAAACCAGTGTTAACACCTAGAATTTCTCTGTACCCTCTCCCTTCCCTCTCCACACATATCATTTGTCCAATTCATGCATGCCTTTTGGAAATTGGAGTTCCCCTGTGTGGGTTGTAATTTTTGTGCATTAATGCATGGGATTTGATAAGGACATGTAATTCCTTTTATTAGTCATTTTTATTTTAAAATTAAACCAATGGATCAGTCAGACTGAATATTTTATTAACTCTTAAATTATTCATCGTTATGGGTTGCTCTAAAAAATCCAATAACATGCATACAGTTGCAGCAAGCACGTGACATCTTATGCAATCTGTCCCTCTGCCTGCAGTTTGTGCTTGAAGTCTTTAAGCAAATGGCAGTGTCTAAAAATGTCTAGACATGTCCTAAATACTATGAATCATTGCCATTTTCATTTTTTAAATCAATGGGATTTTTTAGTTAATTGGACATGAACTGGAGATAACACTATGCTTCTATGGTTAGTATAGGAATATTTATCCTGAAATAACAGTTGTTTATGTTTTAAAAATTATTATACATTAGTGTCTTTATTGCCTGTTTTACACAATCATTATTTTTATATTTTAAAAATAAGTGCTAACTTCACATTCTTGGTGAAACATTTAAAAATAATTTTGAGATGCTGAATTAAAAGTAATAATTAAGGGAAAATAAAGTATCCTGCTGTGACTGTTTGACACTAATGCAAAATCTTGGCCATGTCACACAGTGTCATGGTGCAACACACATTTTTTCCCCTTCCAGTCATGAATATTTTTCCTAATCGTTCTTGAAATATTTCCTTAGAATTGAATGTATTTTTTACATTTAGATGATTTTGAGAAAACATTTATAATAACACAAATTAATAGTTAAGAAGCTGAAATGGTCTTGAAATAACAAAGATCTTCAAAACCAAGTAAATGTATACCACTTCTAAACTCTTCTCTAAATTAAAACTCCATTGCATTTTGCTCAGATATCTTAAGACCATTATTCATTAAAACATGTGTTCAGGATTAGGGTATTTTTAATAAATTTTTAATAAAATTTACTTTTATTGCTAGACACGTATAATATTTCCTTCCTACAACATTATAGCAGGATAAGTTAAGAGTTAAAGTATACATGAGTACAATAAAATAGTTTGGCTACTCACAGCCATTACAAAATGGTTGACACCTCGAGACTCTAAATTTATACCCCAAACTCCTAATTTCACTGATATTAATTAAGATAAAAGTTTTAATTAGATTATTTATTTTTAAAACTTTTTATCTTTTACAGGATTTTGAATAATGGGATGGACTATATATGTTATCATTTATGTACAGTTTAAAAGCTTGCTAGAATAACTAAAGCCTAAGAAACTAATTCTGATATTTACCATTTACTGAACACACTTGCAGGTGCAATAGTGCTGAATCTAATTTATGAGGTAATGGGTTCATTATGTTCTTGCCAAAATAAACAAGCAACAAGAACACAAAAAACAATGCCGTCTTCAAAACTCAGTTCAACTCAGAGTAAATCAGAATAAGTAGGTACTGAGAAACAAATAGCAAACTTTGAAAATATATAATTAATGGTATGGCTTCTGTCAGGTCTAATAAATTTGCTCTGTATATGGTAAATTTATTCCCTAAGTAGTTTGCAAACAGACTTTTTTTGGGCGGTGGAAGTAGAATATCAAAGCTAAGCCATTCCTATTATTTCATTCTATTCTATGTTTTAATGAAGATGCTTAGCATGGTTTCATTTTAATTTTTATTTCTAAAATCAATGCTCATGTAACGACTTTACTATCTGTTGGTTAATCAGAGCAAACATGTATGTATATACAGAGTTGACTGGTTGCACATATGGGCTATTGACAGTTTTCTCATAGTTATGTGATAATGTTAGAAATTAAGTACTATAAATACTTAAACTGAACGAATTACCACTTAATTTTCACTTAAAACACCTTTAAAGAGTCTGATTTGAAAGGGTTGTATAAAGGAAAAGAGACTGGAATCAACTCTGCCCTTTCCAGCAGGTGTCAGGATAATCAGTGGAGATCTTTTAAAGGAAAGATGAAAAAAATAAAAGAAGTGAACTTGTAAATGCTAATCTGCAAATCCACATAAAGTGAGTTTCTACTCAGTATGGAACTGATATTATTAGTTAGTCTTCAGAGATCCCCTGGAAAAGTGAGGACCCACTGTGTGTTTTGTGGGATTTTAACATGGGAGCAGTGTTGCTCTCACTGCCACAAACAAGTGCATGTGTAGGCTGAACCAGAGTTTCTCAGGGGTCTCTGGAGTTCTTTCAAAGCAAATGCATACAGAAGCATGAGGTGCTTGCAGTAAAACAATTATTGAAATGTTTGGCATGCTTTTAAGTTTATTCTACATACCAACGGTCTGTTTTATAAAAAGAAATTCTGTGATATTGATTTTCATGAATGTATGTACATGGACCAACTACATGTGTATATATGCCTATAGGGCTGGTAAGAGATGACTGCATATCCTTTTCTGTCATGATAGTAAAGTATGTTTTCTAGAGTTTGCAAGTTTCTAAATAACTTATGCACACAAAAGAGATTAAATGACATATTAAAGCTTTAAAGCTTATCAAAACTTTATTAATCCTTACTAATCCTTATGTATGTGCCTATTGTGTATCAAGCTGTTGGTGACTTGACATCATTTATTTGTTTCCAATTGATCCTTACCTGAGAACCTTTCCTTGCAAAGTAGTTCTGGCATCTGCTCGGATAGCCTTTAAAACCAGGTAACAGATCCACCATGACTCTATTTCTACAGAAGTTCCTCTCAGGCTTTTATACAGT